CTGTGGGTATGGGGCATAATAATAATAATAATAATAATAATAATAATATTCATATAATCCATCTTCCAAAAACCATGATGTTCACATCACTGTGGATTTAACAAGTGGATCGATATTGTTCTGAACTTACGTTAGATAACATTTTCATGTATTTTTTTAGAAGCAGAAAACATCACCGGCATTAGGGAAGATTAAAGAATGTGGGTGTTAAATAATAACCACAGTGACTGCCTATGACCTGACATTCTTCCATGCCCGATGTGGTCAGGGTGTAACTTGGTAATTATAATTGGTATTTGTGGCAATTTATAATTGTCACTGAACTTAGTTTTGCAAAACTTTTCGGACTAAGCATGCAGTAACAAGAAAAGTATATGAAGGCTTGTTTAGCTTGTCAAGAGATTTAGGAATGTACTCTAGTTGGTCTTCCTCTCAATCTGAGTTTGGGATAATTTATTCATTAGTTGGAGAGCGCTGTAATTTGAATGCACCATTACAAGAATGCAGATATTGCTATCCGCTACTTTCCAGAAATCTTGCCTCCAGTGTATGCTTCATTTATATAGATGGTGATTATGTTTTATTGATTAAAATCTTTAAAAATGCATGGCACAGGGTTTACATAATGGGAAAATTAAGCACGCATTTTAACAGAATAACTTCTTTTTCAGGTGATTAGCAGTGGCTTTTAGCAGTAAGCAGCTGTAAACATTTTCAGTAATAATAAGCGAATGTTGCAGTAATACAGGAAATGCAAACTATATTAAAAGACTGCACTTATCAAAGGAACATGTCCTGCACCACCTCTTTTCCATTTTGTAGCTGCAATAGATACAGTGGTGCCTCGCAAGACGAAATTAATTCATTCTGCGAGTTTTTTTGTCTTGCGAATTTTTCGTCTTGCGAAGCACGGTATTAACGGTTTTAAGAAAAAGGAAACAAACTCGCAAGACGTTTTCGTCTTGCAAAGCAAGCCCATAGGGAAATTCGTCTTGCGAAGCAACTCAAAAAACGAAAAACTCTTGTGAGTTTTTCGCCTTGCGAGGCATTCGTCTTGTGAGGTACCACTGTAGAATCATAGAAGCATAGAATCATAGAATCATAGAGTTGGAAGAGACCACAAGGGCCATCGAGTCCAACCCCCTGCCAAGCAAGAAACACCATCAGAGCACTCCTGACATATGGTTGTCAAGCCTCTGCTTAAAGACCTCCAAAGAAGGAGACTCCACCACACTCCTTGGCAGCAAATTCCAATGTCGAACAGCTCTTACTGTCAGGAAGTTCTTCCTAATGTTTAGGTGGAATCTTCTTTCTTGTAGTTTGGATCCATTGCTCCGTGTCCGCTTCTCTGGAGCAGCAGAAAACAACCTTTCTCCCTCCTCTATGTGACATCCTTTTATATATTTGAACATGGCTATCATATCACCCCTTAACCTCCTCTTCTCCAGGATAAACATGCCCAGCTCACGTAGCCGTTCCTCATAAGGCATCGTTTCCAGGCCTTTGACCATTTTGGTTGCCCTCCTCTGGACACGTTCCAGTTTGTCAGTGTCCTTCTTGAACTGTGGTGCCCAGAACTGGACACAGTACTCCAGGTGAGGTCTGACCAGAGCAGAATACAGTGGCACTATTACTTCCCTTGATCTAGATGCTATACTCCTATTGATACAGCCCAGAATTGCATTGGCTTTTTAAGCTGCCGCGTCACACTGTTGGCTCATGTCAAGTTTGTGGTCAACCAAGACTCCTAGATCCTTTTCACATATAAATATTTTCCCCCTCAAAATGCAAAGAGTATCTGTGCTACCATTGGAGTCATTTCATACTTGGAATGTTATATAAAGCTATGGTCAATGTTCTGGCCAGCAATGGACAAAATAGTGGGGCCAAGTCACTTCAGCAGAGAGGGGAGAGACGCAACAGCGACTAGGTCACCCCAGTGACAACATGTCAGCAGGAGTTCCAGATTGGCTGTGCCAGCACATTTACATCTGTGCTGACTCCTCCCCTTTCCCCATCCAAATTCCAGTATTGTTACAAGTGTCTGTATGGATCCCATAGGCATCTGCTTCTCACTGGGTCCCTCAAACATCCAGCTCCCAGAGAGTGATGGTATTTTTTGCTGAAACCATTCATTCATATTACCTTCACAACACTGCTTCCACTGGGTCTACAGTGGTACCTTGGGTTACATACACTTCAGGTTACATATGCTTCAGGTTACAGACTCCGCTAACCCAGAAATAGTACCTCGGGTTAAGAACTTTGCTTCAGGATGACAACAGAAATCGTGCTCCGGCGGCACGGTAGCAGCAGGAGGCCCCATTAGATAAAGTGGTGCTTCAGGTTAAGGACAGATTCAGGTTAAGAACGGACCTCTGGAACAAATTAAGTATTTAACCCGAGGTACCACTGTACTTTGAGTAGAACTTTGTTGGCTTCATCAAAAGACAAACAACTAACAATGCAATGCTTGGTTTCGAAAGTGAGTGGAACACGTGCCAGCTTAAATTATGCTAGGGTAAAACATCCATATTCCAAACTCAGGAGTTCAGAAGCAGGACTACTGTAAGATAAAAACAAGCCTTTAAAATAGTTTGACTTGTAGTCCCAGCAAAGGAAGAATGGATACAAAAACTTGTGGAATACGCAGAAATGGCGAAACTTGTTGGAAGAATAAGAAATCAAGATAACAAACTTTTTATAAAAGAATGGAAATGGTTTATTGAATATTTACAGATAGATTATAAACAGATAAGAATATTGGCAGAATTATTGTAATAACCTGCAGCTTCATAAGAGTATATATTTAAAGTTGATGAATAAATGAGCAAATTAAGTTAATTTGGATATGCAGAAAATATTAAAAATAAATTTAAGGAACTGCAGAAAAAGGGGGAAGGAAGTCAAGTTTTGAAATGTTAACATATTGTAAAATCAGTGAAATGTACAAACCTGAAAAGCATATTTTAATATAAATAAATAAATAAATAAATAGTTTGACTTGTACCAACCATTTTACTAGAGTACATTCTATCTGGTTTCCTAGTCGCATGAGTGAGCTGAAAGGAGTTAGGATGCAGCAGGAGTTAGGGTCCCCCTTGCCTGGTCAATCCTCTGCCACTCCCCCAGAGCACTCATTTTTCATCAATTATGCTGTTGTACAATCTGCTAGTTGCACAGCCAGCTGAAATGGGATGAATAGCTACACTGGTGTATCTCTGACTGAAGCAGCATGTGGGTCTACACTGCTACAGCCTTGCTGTGCTGCAAATCAGCCGACTGGGCCAGAGATCTGCTGGATACTGACTTGCTCATCCCAGTGGATATTGGGATTGAATTCCTCCCTAATTCAGTTGCTGAAATCAGTGTAAGAAGCCAGTCATTACCACTGATTGCTGTGATGATTAAGTTTACTATAGATCATCAAAGGTCTAATCTCCTTATTTCAGAATATCTCCTAAAATCTTTGGGGAAGACATCCATTCTTACATTCTGTGAACTCAGTATACCCATCTATCAATCACAAGTTGTAATAACTGAACACATCTGAAATGTTAATTAACTCCTCATTCTTTCCAGACTGGACTTGAAAGACATTGTTGTAATGAGATGCTAGTACTTCTGTAATCAAAGTATTATTTTTCCAAGGGTGCTAATATTGCAAGCAGTGCCGGATTTATGTATACGCTAAGTAGGCTGAAGCCTAGGGCCTCTTGGGGGCCTCACCAGCCCACATGTTCCCCAGCGGGCAGTCTCCCCTCTCCCAAAATTGCAAACCCAAGACTTCATGTGAGGGCAGGACAACCCAAAAGCTGTTAATCAAGCAAAGTAGCACACAGGTCACCTTTGTCACAGTCAGGATGCCTGTGTCCTGGCCAGGCCTGCACTCAATCTTGTTTTTATACAATCTTGTTTGTCCTCAGTAACCAAAATTATATTATCAACATATACAAGCAGAAAAGTTGTTTTCCTTCATTGGCAAGGAATCATACAAAACAAAGTGGCACTAATAAAGAAAAGTTCCAGGGTGGCAACAGAAAGCAAACTAAAAATGCTTTTGCAGGTCATCAAAAATATCCAGCAATATCAAGTTATAGGAAAATTGGTACTATTAACAGTAATCCTTCTAGTTGGTTAATTGGTTTGGCAACTTCCATGCACATGATGTGTGGTGCTAATTATTTCCCCCAAGAGTTAAATGATAACTAATCAGAGGCAGCTACAGGAGAGCTATGAGATTCAGGTGAGGGTCAGATGCCTTGCCAATCCCAGCAGGTATATAAGAGGATGACCAGGCCTCTCTGAAAGGACATTTATTGCTCAGATAAGCCTGGCGTCCAGCCCGTTTTCGTTGCGTAATCTCTTGCCAGGCCTCTGCATTCCAAAGTCCACATTCCAATGCTCTGAGCAAAACAGAGATCAGCAGCGGTAAGAGAAAACTGCAAAAAAACTCCAGTGCATGCTTCAGAGTGCTTAAATAAAGTCCACTCAGGATCTTAGCAGCTAAAAGCAGTTTTATTTACAGCAGACTATCCATTATCTATCACAGCGAACAGCATCGTGAAAACACGTCCTCTCTCCTCAAAAGCAAAAGTAGAGAGAGAACAAAGGCTTGAGGCTCTAGGAAATGATGAACCTCCCCCCTCCCAACAGCAGGCAGGGCATACACTCTGAGCTGTTTAACCCTGTAAGCTCAGGTTCTCCTCACAGGTCGCACTTACTGTGAGGCAGCAGTGCTGCAGTGCGGTCTTGGGCCTCTGGCAGCCGGCGGGAGCTCATCGATCCCACCTTCGTCACCAATATTAAATGTTCGGAAAAGTCAGAAGCCCAAGGCAGTATAAGTTCCTCAACTAAGTTTATTCAACATTTGTCAGTGACAACAGCTCACTCAGGAACACAAGAACCAAACTGACTGGATGACATGATAATAATTCCAAGCATGAACTGACCGTTGACAGTTGACAGTTGAAAGAGCATGCGCTTACTTGCCATTAGAACGTTCGTCTACCAACGCTTCTACGACTGGTTAGAATGTGCCTTGTCACATAAAATGTGTTAAGCCCAATACATAACACCATCCAAAAGGTATGCTGAAGAGTTTGCTAAAACAGTCATAGCAGTTACAGCGGTTGTTAGTAACTCAGAGAAGGTTTGGGAACCTTCAAGCTTCCAAGAGGTCTAAAGTTTAACCTCAGAGGATGCTGAGCCATGGTTAAATGCCATGAAGGCTGAACTTGATTCCTTAGAGAGGAACAAGACATGGGAACTAGTTCCAGGCCTGCCCAGGCCACAAAGTTCAGTTATTGCAAAAGTTTCTCAATGGGTGGGGTATAAATAAAAAGATTATTATTATTATTATTATTATTATGTTAATTTTATGCATTTTTTAAAATCACCATGGTATTTAACAATAACATTGTCAGGGAACTGCCATCAGCTCAGAGGTGAGAGGTGGAAGGGCAGTTGGATTACAGGGAGCCTCCAAAGATCGTGAGAAGCAGCACTTCCTCCGCAGAGGATGGAAGCCCCGGCTCTAGTGGGGAAGAGATGCAGGGCTCGGAGGATGCAAGAGAGAGGATGCAAGAGACCACGCCGGCAGACATAACAAGCATCTTATGTCCTTTAGAGGAAAAATTGTGAATTGTATAATTTTTTTAAATCCCCATAGTATTTAACAATAATATCTTACGTTCTTTAGAGGAGAAATTGTGAATTGCAGAATTTTAAATACCCTTCATCATCCTTGGCTTCACTCAGTTTTGTTTATAACACTCTTCCATTTTCTTCTAGTTGTGAGGGTGGGGCCTCACAAGTGGAGTAGCGTAGGGCCTCTCGTCGTCTAAATCCAGCCCTGATTGCAAGTGTTCAAATATGAGGTAAAGGACTTTATTAAAAAGAAAGAAAGGAAGCAAAAATCCCTGTTGTATGAAGAGAGGAAATGGTATGAGTATATAAAGGGACTTTCTGGCTAACGTCGTGGCTTGAGTAATTTATTATTTGATGAAACGTAGCAGCTGCTTCCCAGAAACTATTCTTCTTCCCCACTGGTAGAGGAATAATCACAGGAAGTTGTTCAATCAAAAAGGTCATTTCTGCCTTCCAGGAAAATGTTTACTAAATTGATAGTAGCTGAGCCTGAAACTAAATGAAAACTTTTCATCAGCCTTAAGACATATTGCAATTTGTTAAATACAGTATATTTCAAAAAGCTAACTTTAATTTTAATACAGTTCAAAATTCTTCCTGTGATTGTTTCTCTCCGAACCCATAACATAGCTCTTTGAAAGAGCAGGAGAACAGAAAAGATGTTTTATTGATTTACTATGCATGGCAAGCTGCCCATTAATTGAACATGCTGATAATCCATTTTATTGCCCATCTATCTCTGAATCTAATTATGTTATGCACGGAGATGCAAGGAGATATAGATACAGATAGAGATATATCGTATCATTTCAGAGCCATACTACAAAATGCAGGCATGCCTTCAACACTTTAGACCAGGGTTGGGAAACCTCTGACCCAGGGGAAGAATGTGCCACCCAGACCACTCTGACTGGCACTTGCAACTCTCCCCAGTCCCCCCCCTCACCCCCAAGTGCTTTCACTCTGGCAGGTATGTGTCATTGAACCAAGAATGGTGTGAGAATGTGTGTATCTCTATGTAATAAAATTAGAAGAATGCCACCACATAGCCTCCATTTGAGGATTTGTGGTGCTGCTCCACAATTCTGGATTTAATGTATGAATCCAGGGCAGTCTGGGGAAACAAAAATGAAGGCAGGTTGCATGACAGTAGTAACCATAGCATGGGAAGAAGACTGGAGGAACACTGAGAGGGGAACAGCAATGGTTTAAAACAGTGGTTTACAACCAGTGTGCTGTGGCACACTGGGGTGCCTTGAATGACGGTCTGGGGTGCCATGGGGAACACTGGCCTCTGTCCCTCTTTCCTTCCCTCCCTCCTCTGATGCCCTCTCATGTCTCTGCCTCTCAAAGGGTTGTAAAGCTGTTTGTTGCAGCAGCCCTGGCTACAAGATTCCCAGGTGAATGGTGCCTCTGGGGCTGGCCCAGGTCCCTGTAGGGCAGTTTGAGGAGGCACCTCTCTTTGGGGCAGGAGCGGCACAGTTCAAAGACCAGGGGTGGCAGCTGCCGCTGCCCAGAGGACTTCCTAGGAGAGGGGAGAGCAGAGGAGGGTGAGGGAACACTACACAAGGGAGGGTGTTTTAAAAAGGATGAGAGGCTGCCAATTCTGCAAGCAAGGGGTGACATAACTGGGCTCCTAAGCCCCACAGGGGTGCTGTTAAACAACAGCAGGTGTTTGTGTAAAGTACTCTGCATCAGTTATTGTTCTTTCAGTTTTTCACTTTTCTGTTCATCAATTCTCCAGCAAGTTGTGATTTATTTATTTTTTTAACAAGTAAAAGCCTCATGAAAGCTCATCAGCATTTCCATGCAAATCTGTCCTAGTAAGAACATTTCAAGCAGTTTTAACTTATACATTTTTGCAATCAATTTGCCCCAATATTTGTGTGTGTGTGTGTGTGTGTGCGCGCACACACACGCTATTCTATGTTTATGCACACTTTATCCTAATATATGCATTTTGATCGAATAACTGCTTCGCAAATTTCAGAGCAATGCACTTTTTTAAAAAGGAAGGCTCTGTTTTGGTTCTCATATTGCTTCAGAATGTGGGAGTAAGGTAGGTTTGCCATTAAAGATGAACTGCATTGACTTTCTCCCCATGCCTACTGTGAAGGGGAGACTGCTTTGCTGGAAGACCCCTTGGCCCCTAGGAATTGTTTCCCATGATTCCACCTGAAAATAACAACAGTCCGGAAGCACCTGTGTAATCTACGGTTTTCTCTTTGAAATTTCACCCCTTATAGTTTGTTTAAATCAATACGTTTGTGTGCTGGGATCTCATTAAATGATGTATCAACAATAGCAACAAATAGCAATATCAACAAATAAGAAATATTCATAGTATAACAAATATTCATATTATAACCAATTTGGGGGGGAGTGTGTGTGTGTGTGTGTGTGTGTGTGTAGAAAGGGTGAACTTAGCAAGAGTTTTAGCACCAATGCTAGTAGAATAAGGATAGGACCCTCTTTGTATTATCCACAACCTTGAAATTTTTATGTGGTTCATAACATCTGCTTCAATGAACAGCAGCTGGCTAATAACTGGCCAAAATACCAGCTGAACAAGGGAGATGTGAATCATTGAACTCTACCAATTACATGCTCAAAAGGGTCCATGAAAACCAAAGCTCCCTATGTGAGTGCAATGTAACAAGTGCATTCAAAGCATCCACACTCTTCTGAGAAAATGAGATGGCAATAGTGAAATCTTTAGAGGGTGCTATTATCTACATTGAAAATAGTGGCCCAGAGATAATTGTAAGCCATGTGTGCTTGTGATTGAGTTTTTTGAAGCTATGGCCTCAATCCCAAGTAGTTCTGCATGCCCAGCTGCACCTTAATTTATACCTGGGGAGGGAATAAGAAGCACAGCCTACAAAACAAACCACTGTGGAAACTTTGGGGAGAAAATTGTTTTTTGGCACAGAGAGGACTGCTGGTCCAAGGAAAAATGTCTCACTGGGGGCATGGAGTTCCTTGGGCATGCCCAGTGCAGCCAGGATTGGGAAATATATAAGACTGTGTTGGTTCCTTACTTTCTCAAGTACAATGGTACCTTGGTTTTCGAACGTAATCCGTTCCGGAAGTCCATTCGACTTCTGAAACGTTTGAAAACCAAGGCACGGCTTCTGAATGGTGCAGGTGCCCCAGAAACAATAGTCGACAGCCACATTGGATGTTCGGCTTCCAAAAAATGTTTGAAAACCAGAACATTTGCTTCCAGGTTTTCGGCGTTCGGGAGCCGATTTGTTCGTCAACTACAGAGAACCAAGTTTCCACTGTAATCATTTCTGTGTACAATAAAGGTGCCCAATAGTTTGGAAAAATGTCTCTAAGTAACTATAACAATTAAATCCAGCTATGAGAGAGATAAGGAAGTAGCCCAGCTTTCCACAAGCAACGTAAGCTTTGATCCAATAAGGTGGAATGGAAATTCCGAGAACCGAATTCATACAAGCTAGGCTGTACCCCTGCTCATCAACATGATAGTTTGAGGAGGGTTGGCAAATTTGCCCCTGCCAGAAATGAATACCAGGAGTGGGAGCATGTGTATTATTTCTCTTAGCTTTATGTGGTTTGGTTGCAGTGACAGCTTCTTAGAATCATAGAATAGAATCATAGAGTTGGAAGAGACCACAAGGGCCATCGAGTCCAACCCCCTGCCAAGCAGGAAACACCATCAGAGCATTCCTGACATATGGTTGTCAAGCCTCTGCTTATTCCCCCTTCCTAGTTCTCTCCTGCTAGGAATCTGGCTGGAGGTCAATATTTCTCACCTGCAGGATTATGTTCTACGTAGCTACATTAAGTGACAAGAAACAGTCAGGAAATGCCCCCCCTTTCCTCAGTAGTAAGGAAGCCTTTACACAACACACATGAGTAAATTATCTTTATTTGAATAGGTAAGGGTAAAGGGACCCCTGACCATTAGGTCCAGTCGTGACCGACTCTGGGGTTGCGGCGCTCATCTCACTTTATCGGCCAAGGGAGCCGGCGTTTCTCTGCAGACAGCTTCCGGGTCATGTGGCCAGCATGACAAAGCCACTTCTGGCGAACCAGAGCAGCGCACAGAAACGCTGTTTACCTTCCCCGCCAGAGTGGTACCTATTTATCTTCTTGCACTTTGACGTGCTTTCGAACTGCTAGGTTGGCAAGAGCAATGGGAGCTTACCCTGTCATGGGGATTCGGACCGCCGACCTTCTGATCTGCAAGTCCTAGGCTCTGTAGTTTAACCCACAGCGCCACCCGCGTCCCTTTGAATAAACGTCATTTATTTGAATTATATTTGAATAAACGTCAACCAACACTGAACGTCAAGAGTATATAATGTTTTACATGGAAACAAGGCCTAGTAACCCATAATTGGTTAATTCAAATTTAAGTAGTGTTTTGTTGGCAACATGGCATCAGAGAAGGTGGTATCCCTGCATATATATTTTTAAAAAGAAGATCAACAACATGTTGAACAACACTTGTTCTCTAGTAGTGTGTCCTGCTATGCCTATAAATCTATGTAACTAGGTGATTGGTGTCAATTAAGGAACAAGATCATATTTTGGGGGGAAATGTCAGTAGCAGTCATAGGAGCCAACTCCTAGGAGTTGTGGTGGCTTTGGGGCTCCAATAAAATATTTGATAAAGCTGCACCCCCCAAAAAAAGTTGATGGGCATTGTTATTCAAATGGTGCATGTACATCACAAATGTGATCCATTATTCGGGGCAGGGCTTAACTGCCTCCCCCCCAATATTTTATTCAAGTTGGCACCCCTGGTAGCAGTTCTCAAGCTGCTGTTCAGAAAAGGAACAGTTATCACGGTAGGCAGAACTATCCCATAGTGAGTTCTGGTATTGACGTAACTAGTCTGTGAGCCATGTTAAGCAGTCTGTCACCTTGTAGGGATCAGGAAAACAGGAACCTGTGCCTTCAGAAGATCATGCTGAAACCATGACAAGTACCATCTTAGCACTCCTAATACCTGGAACATGCCCCAAGCCATTTCAAAACACGGTCTCAAATGTGATCCACCAGAGTTACATCATTTGTAATAAACTCATAGTTGCCATGGATTCCAATATCACAAACCCATCAAAATGTTACTTTCCATAACATTTCCCAATTGCTGTCACCATTTTGTATACAAGGGTATTTTTTAAGTAGTATATAAATAACAATCAATAGCTGCCAAAGTTACATTGTCAGAACTATCACATCTCCTGGTTTCCTCCTTTGTAAATTAAATGTAGCTTTATTGTACAACGTTTAAAAGGTTCCCAATACATTTGTCCCTATACACTGATCAAAATGAACTTCACAGAACATTTATTCTAGTTGCCAGATGGCCAGTTTCATCCATCTATGAAAGTCATGGGCTCCTTTATCTTCCAAAGTTTTGCTAAGCAGTTTTAAATTCATAGAGCTCCATCTGTGTTGTTATTGCTATTTTTTTTTATCTTTCCAGACAATAGAAGAAAAATGATTGTAAGAACTGAATCAAAGTTGATTAAGCCATAGCAGCTACAAGTATGAGCAGAGCCAGATAAAACCCATATAGACCTATTTGAAGAGATTTCCCTCAGGGTATATCCACCACAAACCTAATGGTTTTATATCAGTTTAACTGTAATGGATTTCCCCAATAAATCCTGAAAGTAGAGTTTTGCCAAGGGTTTTGAGCATTCCGTGTTAGAGATCCCTAGTGTGTTCTCACTATATATGTACCAAAATTTCCTGGTATAGAGATAGGGAACAACCTTTAAACAGGTTTAAGTTTGAAACATATTTGCACACTACATTCAATGAGTGTTCAATCTGTATGCACAAACAGTTGATCTGTACACTCATACAATTGATCACATGTCATGTTCAATGTATACAGTCTTTGTATCTTTATACACAACAACTGAGCTCCACAGCTACACTATTGCATATAATAACTGAAGTGAACAACTAAGCAAGTGTACACACATGTATAGAGACAACTTGTGTCTGTGCTCTGTGTAACATGTGTACAAGCCTGCAGTTAGGTCCTAGGTTTCCCTTCTGATTTGTTGTTGCTGTTGTTATTATCGGCATTCTGTTCTTCACAATTCATTCACAACATAAGTGGAGAACGAATCAAATAGCACTATTAGAATAACTTGTTGTTGGTGTATCAAAAACCAATCCATAAATTAAGACTCAGGTATTAAATGCTAAGCAGAATCATTTGCAGCAGCTTTAGCATAAACAAAAGGAAGCATTTCTTAACTCATAATTCATTTAAGGAATCCACTGTACAATACCTTGGTACAGGAGGAAAGCAAGAGCCATTTGGGCAAGCTAGAGTCATTATCAGAGTTCAAGAAGATATTCCTTCAGAAAACTTGAGGAGTGAATGAAGCTGGTTCAGTGTGGCTTGTGGCCTGGCAGAAGGGGGCATAGCTGGAAGGAGATGTGACCTGGAGTGAGACCCAAGTGCCATACAGAGAAGTCTGGAGAGTTGCATTAGGCCCCAAGGACTGAGGTTCCTCAACTGTACTGAAGGATGTGATGCATGGATGGCCATTAACCTAGATGACTTGAAAATGGGACCAGAGACCTTGGAGCTATCTACCA